CCCCAAGGAAGAACACGACAAGAACAGGGCGAAAGCAGAAGTCTTTGAGTGTAATAGTTACAACATATTTAGAGCAGCAAACGCGTGTAAACTATCGGCCCAATCAGCTTCTGTCCTGACTTCGCTACCGGCACGATTGGCTGGTGACTCGACGGCTGACTGTAGCTTGAATTTTAAAATATTGATTGATTGTCTGGCAAGATGTGTTCGCTCACGTGTAGGCCGATCGATAGCCTACTGTGATCGTGGCTGCTGCTTTTATGCTAGCTGTTTGGTCCCTCCTAGCAGGTACTAAGTACGCCGTCTAACATTCGCCAAGGCCTTTGATCTATTTTCTTTCTTCTTCCTACTCCTCTCCCCCTTCTTATCGTAGAAATCAGAATACACTGTGGCGTTTAATTGACGACAAAGTTAACCGCTAATAATGTCTGCCACTGGAAGTCGTAAAGGTAGAGGAAAGAGAACAAATACAAAGAACAAGTTTGCAATGTTGCTGGCCCTGGTTTTGAAGTGAGAAAGTATCGTGGCAGGTGGCTGAGAGATCCAGGTAGACACCGAGCAAGTAGCACAGGTATGCGTGTGGTACTAAGATAGGCGAAAGGCAGGAATTGTAAATAGAAAGCTGCGTGGACCCAAGTTTTTCAGCTACCACACTTAAGGCTTCATCCATGACACATTACACCGACCTCCCAGGAGTTTGTGAGTCAGCGTGGCCTGGTAGGTATTTGGTAGGGTTTTGTGGGCTAGACGACCAGCTGTGCAGGAGACGACGGTGATTGGGACTTGGAGGAGAGGGAAGGGGACTTTTACTTATTGGTGATTATTCAGCAGCCTAAAGTTTGTTTCCGTGTATAGGCTCGCCGACTGCAATGGGCTGGGTTTCACCGCTGTGCCCAGACGATTAGGTCTGTTTATGTAGCTGCAATTCATCATCCACACATCCCACTTCGGGGTGGTCGGTGATGTAGGGCTTCACAGATGCGCGTTCAGGCGTCAGCTCCTGCAGGAGTAATCCCTACGACGGTCCTTTCTCCTTCGTTATTCGCAGATGGTGGCCGTTAATTAGCCGAACAGTTGATCCGCTGCAGAAAACGCCCTCTTGTCGACCATCCTTATGCTTCGCCGTGTCCTACGAGGATCCTACGAAGGCGACTGTGACCTACTTTGGTGCTTAGAGTGTTCTTCAAATAGCCGACTGGGCAGCAAACCACTGTCAATTCGCGCTCTCCCGCGAGTGGGAGATTATTTCATTCACTGAGTGATCCCCTTCTCACTGCTACTCACTGCCTTTCAAAGGATACAAACTTTCGATAAATTTGGGCTCAGTGGTGTGAGGATAGATCAGTCCTCTGATAACACAATCCCCCAAACTCAACTCGTAATAGTACTCACATAAAGGGTTGCTCTATGCGACCGGAGAGCCGTAGCCCAAAAGCGGCAGTGCTATGTTGCCGATAGGAGCAATTCTGTACGTTGGAGTGCTAGAGCGATTGACACAGATGTTCGCATCCTGGTGCATGATTATTCGGCAGCGAACCCATGGCGCTGTGGTTAGAGTGTTAGACTTATAACTAACAAGGTCGCGGGTCCAAAACTTGAGCGGGGCACCAATTTCTGGGGCAACACTTGAGTTGGTTATGACTAGCTGACGACAGCCAATACGCCAGAAATGGCCATCCTAGTCTCACTTGTCTTTGTCTGTAATGTCCT